TTCTAAAATATTTAGGATACTACGCGCGCTGTGATTGGTCGAAAACCATGTTTGATTACAGTATCAAAACACGCTCGCGCACGTCAAAAATTTCTTTTTTTCTTTTAATTTTAGAAAAGAAATAAAAGACGAAATTCCGTGTTTGATACTCTGATCAAAACACGCGGGATGTAGGGAGAGCACGAGAGAAGCGTAGGAAACCACGACGCGTAGCGGAGTGGTTTCCAGCTTTTCGAGTGCTCTCCCTACATCCCAAGTGTTTTGATCAGAGTATCAAACACGGAATTTCGTCTTTTATTTCTTTTCTAAAATTAAAAGAAAAAAAGAAATTTTTGACGTGCGCGAGCGTGTTTTGATACTGTAATCAAACATGGTTTTCGACCAATCACAGCGCGCGTAGTATCCTAAATATTTTAGAAACTGTAATCAAACATGGTTTTCGACCAATCACAGCGCGCGTAGTATCCTAAATATTTTAGAAAGTGAAACGATATGCATGTTCTTGAGCCATATTCTAATTTAGTTTTCATATCTTTCAAGTATAATTTGGCATTATCAAATCATTGTCTCTCTCTCAGTCTTAATCAAATACTAATCATCCAACTCACCACCACAAAGATCTTTCACATTGCAGACTGAATTACAGTCTTTCACCTCTTTCTTTATCCGGTAGTTTAGGCATTTAGGACTTTTATTACCATTTTCATCTGTACAGCTTCTCCTCACAGTGATAGGTCCACCTGTACCACAGCATTTCGCTTTGCATTCCTCCTCAGTCGCCTTGTAATCTCCCAAATTAACTCCAACCACTGTCGAAAAAAAATAAACTGATTTTATCTCAAAGATGAATAACACAAAATGTGCTTGTAGACTGTGCAATTTTCCCAACAACCTGCGGTCCTAAGCGCGATAAATTATTAGGACACTTGTTAGTTAATAAAGTTATTTATCTATTTATCATTATTTTTCAATGAAGCATGCAATAAAACATGAAGCTAATTACACACACACACGCATGTATCATCAGAATAACAATGCAACGACGTCTTATATTGAATTTGAACAGTGAATTGAACAAGTCATGCAGCTTCATATTACAGATATCTGCGTATATTTGTTAATAATCTGGAGTTTTATAATGGAACTTTGTAAACATCTTCTAGCAATCAGCTCGAAACGAAACTGCTCAACTTGTTAACATAAATAAGAGGGCAGGGCCCTTAGCCTCGTTTTTCAGTTCTTATTCGTTTGTTGTTGTTTTTTTTAATTCACTTCCGACTTACGTCGTAAGCATTTATTATGCAAGAAACCCATATTTCTCGGAGTGCTCTTGACCAAAGAAAACGTGGATTTTAAAGCCAGATTGCAATGCAGAATTTAACATTTATTTGTTAAATCTGTAAAAATCTCTTAGCAAATGTTTGAAGATGCATGGGTAATCGGACTCTATTGTTGTAGGAAGGATTGGATGATATATGTGATGGAGTTTCAGTATAATATATGAGTGTAATTGTATATACATGTATATACAATTATAAATGGATTTATCTTTGTGTCATGATGATAACCACAGAGAATAACTCACCAAAGACACCTGCAAGGAAATCCTTCAAAGTCACTCCACCAATTTCACCGTTTGAAGCGTTTTCAAATTTTACGAGGATGTCGTTTTTGGTCAGACCTTTGCCAAAAGTCAGGGTTATTTTCACCTTGCAATCCTCGCCACTCTGTTCAGTTGTGATTTGAACATTTCTTAAATCGTAGGCTTTGTCTTTGAACAAGTCTTTTGTCTTTAAAACAATCAATTTGAAAACAAGTTAAGTGTACTCACCAGAACATAATTAAAAATACTGTATTCTGATTGGCTCCTAAATCATGGGCTATTCCTTTAAAAGAGTTCAAG